GCCCATATCCGCATGTACAATAAGAAGCATTCATTTGCAAAAAGATTATTCCAATCAGTTAAATTCCTTTTGAGAAAAAATTATTTTTATTTTGAACTTTTTTGATAAGCTTTGAATTATTTTCTTTTTTCAATTATTTTTTCCTTTTTCCTTTTTAATTTAACAATTTATTGATTTTTAAGCAATTAACAGTAATAAACTATTGATAATGATCATGTTAGATATAGTTATTATTTATATATGAAGATGAATTAATCACTTTGTGAAAGTTTGTAAATTATTGTAGATTTATTTTAATTTCTCAATAAAAACTATAATACTTAAAAAATATATGAGGTTTATCAAATTAATTTAAATTAAATAAAATTAAATCTCAATTAAATACTTTAAGTTGGATTCAAAAAATAATATTACTTTTCACTAATAGTTTAATATTAGATTTTAACTATTAGAATTATTATCAATAGTTTGTTATTATTAATTATCCCAAAAAATAATAAATTACTAAAATAATTAAGAAAAAAGAAATAAAAAAACAATTTAAAGATACTTTAAAAAGCTTAACCTATTTAATAACTTCTTTTTAAAAGAGATTTACCTAATTTAAATATTTTTTAGTTTTATAATATTTAAAAAACTTAACTATTTTTGAATAAAGAAACTTTAAAAATTTTTTTTGAAAAACTTATTATAGAAAAATTTATTTGATTGAGATAAAAAAAATTTTTTATGAACTTTATTTAACTGAAATAAAAGCTTAAAGATCTTAACTTTAACCTAATAAAAAATTTTTATTATTTAAAAAATTTGTTAAAAAATAAAGTCATTATATTTATATTTATTATTTGTTTTTTAATATTATAGTTTTTTTTTTTTTTGAAAAAAACTTACTTAAATAAAAAAATATTTTTTTAAAAAAATTTTTTTTTAATTATTAATAATATTATCAAAATATAATCAATAAGAGTTTATTTATATTTCAAAAACTAATATGTTTTATATTAATTAATTATCTTTAATAAATATTATACTATTTAAAAATTCAGAATCAAATTGAAATAGATAAATTTTTCTAAAAATTATAAAAGTAAAAGTTTAAAGAGAGTAAAACAGTTGACAAGAGAGAAAACAAACCTTTTTTCTACAATAAATCTATATAAAATTTATTTAAAAAATAGAAAAATATCTTCAAGTAATTTATAATAAAATTTTTTTCCTTTAAGAACTTTCTTATGATATTATTGATAATAAGAATATTTTTTGACTTTTCTTGATCATCAAAAGTCAAGTTTAATCAAAGAGATTTGTAAACAAGAAGAAAAGTGTAATAGCAACTCTTGAAAATATTTTTTAGGTTGTTTTGAGAATAGTAGTAAGACTTTAAAGTTCAAAACTTTTTGATAAACATCTTTTTTGAATATGATTAGAAAATTATTAAAAAGATCGCATCTAATACCAGTTGTGGTTTAAAAAAAAAAAAAAAAAAATTATTATTAAAGAGTTTAATATTATATTTGTGTATAATAAATGCCTCTTATTAACTTACTTTAATAAATTATTATGATTAAATTTAAAAGATAATCAAATTTAATAAAATCGGTTTCAAAGAGTCAATTTATAAAAAAAAATTTTTTAATTAATTAATATTTCCAAAATCTATAAACCCTTAAATTAATTTTTTAAAAAAAGGGAAACTAGCATAATCAAAAGATTGCATGTTCCATCAAACTATTAAATTTTTTGATTTAAAGAGTTCTCAAATTTTGTATTAAATATTATGCAATTTGTAATGTTTTCTATATTGCAAAATAGATATCTACATATTTTTATTAAAGCGTAAACTATAAAAATCACATTTTTTTTAAAAAAAAACTTTAGTATGATCAAGTTTTCGTATTCCACTTTTTTTTCAGATAGGGAAACCCATCTTCCATCGAGTGTGCAAAAAGTTTTGCGTAAAGAAAAGGTCGTGGTAATTTATAATTTCGAACAACTTTTTTCAAATGAATGCTTCTTATTGTACATGCGGATATGGGCTTGGATTCAATTTCAATAATGTGAACAATGTTTTAATTAGTCTCTTCCGTCCTTCACTTATAAAAGTTATCACCTTCCCCCCGCGACCCATCCTTCCCGTACGCCCTGACATGTGCAAATATTCGATCGACGACGAAGGCATTCCTAGGATAAAAACATGTGACACCAGGGGAATGTCGATTCCCCTAGCCGTGAATTCGTGTGCAACAAACAATTTGCGCTTGATTTCTCCCTGGTTCATATAGGAGCCCTCCAATTCTTTGGCCTCCACACCATACTTAAGCAGGCGTTTAATTAAACTCGGTAATTTAATCTGATTGTTCACGAAAATGATACCACACGTCACATTCTCAAATTCCAATGCCCCGATCAGACTATCTAACATCAAATCGTCATCATCCTTTATATCTTCTTTCACTTCTGACGAATGGTTATCGGTGAAAGGATTATACCAGGAGAATTCGGTCGATGTAATGTTTTTTATTTCTTTGGTCGAAATCAAGAGACAATGATGTTCTATTGTCGGTGGCGACAAGGTTCCCTCGGAAATGTCAATAAACACGGGATCCTCGCAGTATCTGTTATCTTTGAAATAATACCTCAGTGCTCGATTGAGGGTTGCCGACGACACAACAATTTGCGGTTTTGCTTGATCAAAAACATGCTGAGTCAATAGTTCCGCGGGTTTGGGATGTATCTGCCTGTTTTGAAGTTTTTTCAGAGTAGCATGTTTTGATGGAAGCCTCAACAGATGGTCTGCTTCGTCCAACACAAGAGTTTTCAAACGCCCGAAGCTCAAGTGCCCAGCATTGGCCAGATCATGGAGTCTCGTCGCGGTACCTACTAATATATGTGGGGGTACGCTTTCCAAATCATCCAGTTGTCTTGATTCGTCCATTGGATCTGTCCTCGCCACTACCTGAATGATTGATTTCAGAGGTAGTCCGGTATCACTTAACAGCACTCGCATCCAATTTTCAATCTGATAAGCCAATTCACGACTTGGCACAACCAGTAAACTTGTGATACACGGTCTTCCCATCCGATTTTGATTTCGACCGTAGGCCTGTTGGTTTCTAGTCTTATTGAGTAATGCCAACGCCATACCAAATGTTTTACCGGAACCAGTAACGTCTCTGATGAGAACATCTTTTCCTTGTAGAATGGTGGGTATCAGGGAAATCTGACATTCGGTTGGTTTTCGGATGTGGAATTTGTTTTCTAGTGCTTTGCAAATGGGCTGACGAATTCCTAAACTCTTGTGTGGAAGAAAAGGTATTGAATGATTGAATGGCATTACGGGATAAACATAATTTTCAGTGCTGCGATCGATTTGTGTCAACTTACCAGGAAGTCGGTGGGAACTTTAGGCTCTGGCATCTTTCTCGGCTCGGCCTTTGTAAACCTTGAATATTGGCAAGAGCTAACCAGCCCACATAATGCATCAAAGTTAGAGGAAGGCGCATATCGAGACAGAACGATAAATTAATATTCAATGGGACAAAACTTACGACGTTCTCATGCATCTCAGGTTAATTTTCCTGACTAACTTGACCAGAACACCAGATCGATCACATTGACAGGGTATGGAAGATTTGAAAGTGTGATAATTTCTTAGGACAGAAACCAAAGTTAGAGTCATCTTTCAGAAACATAGGTTTTAGTAGGTCAGAAATTCACGATAATCAATTAATCATGTGATATCTTATTCTGTATTTGTAATATCGCCGAACAAATAGTATTTCGCTGGGATGAGGAAATTCTGGACATCAGGGATGTCTTCTTCTGAAGAGTAAGTGTATGGTCGGAAGATGATGATACTTTAGTTTTTGCTGAAAGAAATCAAATCACGGTGAAGTGGCTTTAAGAAAAAGAAAGAAACGAAAAAGCGCCCAAACGAACACACATCATGAGGCTTCAAGTATCGGAAGTTGGCGATGTGAATGCAATACCCCATCTTCCCTTAAATGGCCCGTGCGTGGTCGACCACATCTTATTTAGCACAGCAATTGTTAATTGTCTTATTTCCATTTCGGGTTGTGTTCAAAACTAGCATTGAAAGTTTTAAGGCTTCTGAAACGAGACAGAGACAGAAAAGAAGAGTCAATATGATGGACTCGTGTTGTACCAAGCGAAAGTCTGACACCACACGCGACAATAAAGGAAGAACGGCTCTATGTTAAAGCCGATTTAATTATGGTTGAACAATTAATTGGTCATCGAACCAACGTAACTTTGGCTGTAGATGTTGTGAGAGTCATGCATTATTCTATTCAGGGTTCTCATTCTCATTAAGGTTTGCGCGACAACGTGTACAATGTGAGCAAAGTTTTGTTTATCCACATGCCAAATAAATGAATTGAAGGCGGGCATCCACTATAATAATGCAACGCGTTTGGGTTACATGTGATCAATCATTCGGTCGTGTCGTGCTACCGCCGACAAAAAAAAAAAATGTGATGTGAAATGAAACGATCGATGATTTCGATGATTTCGATGACTGTCGAGGAGTTTTCATATTTCACTCGTGCGCTCCTGACATAATTCGATACTGGAGTTTGTTTAATAATTGAACAAATAAATAAATAAGTATAGTAATTGTAAATAAATACTGTAGAATGAAAAGAAAAATTATTATTATTATTATAACTCGTCTCGTGTAAACCAAATAATACATTACATTTGTTAATTGTACCCTTAAAAGGTCGTCAAGGTCATCTGAAGGAATCCTTGCGTGCTACAAAATTTCTCGGACTTACAAATACGGTAAAAAACTTGCGCATAAATAAAATATTTAATTTATAGTTCCGTCGTCTTCAAACAAATTTGCTTTGTTTAATGTAAAAAAAAAAAAAAAAAAAAAAAAAAAAAAAAAACTCATTATCCCCTATAAATCGAGAATGACTGTCCCACAGGGGACTAAACTAAATTTGTTTCTTTACACCCAGATAAGGTTTGTGCTCTTCACGTGACAACCTTAGTGTTTCTCATATCTCCGAATGAAAAAAAACGACTTGCGCATCTCAATGAAGATCGCAATTTTATACAGCTTTTACACAAACTGGCTTTTTGTACCAGTCCCACTCGTCGTCCGTCCATCCGTCCATCCATCCATCCATCATTCTATCAATTCAGCCGATAATCAAAGAAAAGAACGGGCGAGTAAGTTTAAACTAATCTAAATGCGTGGTTATTGGACGCCCTTGCTTATAAATCTCGGATATAATGAAAAAAAGACTCTTACCAATTCAATGTTCAATATTAAATTAAAAATCCAACCATATCTCCACAATTGCACTTACTGTATACAATCTGTGTTTAACTAATCGATTGCGTATTAGCAAAAATATATACTGTATATATACATACAGTATATTGGCAATCCTACATGCACTTTTTCAGATTTTTTTTTTCTTGTACGCAATCATACTATTTATTGTTCAGCCTAATACTAATCACAGCATGTATTACACGTCGTGCAATGTTGGACGAATATCAGACGGTGGTGACACAGTGATGCACTATAAAAATAATAAATACGAATAGGAATGATTGACTTAATTTTTATTGTTCGCTCTTAATTTGCAGGGTGTCTGGACACTCTCTGAAGTGCATGTATGTTATGTCCCTTTAAAATATAAATACGCCATCTCTGCGAAAACTTTTCCAGTTGAAAACAATGTCTACCACAGAGTCTACGCCTGAGCAGCGGTTGCCCCAGGAATGCCCGAAAATTATGTTGCAGTTACCTTTGGAAGTTTTTGATGAAATTTTTAGGCACCTCAAGTTCGACAAACGTTCTTTGTACTCTTGTCTCTTGGTAAATAGATTTTGGTGTCGGAAGGTTGTACCGTTGATATGGAGGCGACCAATGCCTTACAATCAGAAGAAGAATGGTAATCACGTTGATGTCGGTGTGTTCATTCCATTCTTTAACGAGGAAGAAAGGAAAGGATTGATGGAGAGCGGTATAACGATTCCCGATCGTCCTTGCCCATTTTTCAATTATGCTCAATTTTTACACATTCTCGACATCGAGGGAATCGAGAAGGCGGCGAAAGATTGGTTGGCGAGGATCGCAAGGGAGAAAGCTCAACTGCACGAGATATGCGCGGATGAGGACAGGCGTGATGAAAGCCCACCTGACGCGGGGGTAAGTGTGAGTGCCGCCGATAGGTCGCCCGAAATTTCCACCACCAATGCCTTGGTGGCGTCCTTGTTGAAGATGTTCATGAGATGTGCAATTAACCTCAAGTATTTGGTGTTGAATCCATTTGGCGGCTATCGAGATATTCCGGATAGTAGGATTTTTATCGAGGGTCGACCCGGGCTAACGAATTTACGTAAATTTAAGATACGATTTAATTCACTGTCGGTCATCCGACCGGAACATCGAAAAAACATATTTGAACTTTTGAACGCTCTTCCGGGTATTTGCACCGGAATTCATCATTTGGACATAACGAGGGTCAGGGTCTCCAATCCCGATGTGGCCCGCATGGTGGGAGGAGTGATCAGGTCTCAACAACAACTGTTCTATTGTCGATTCTTTAGAATCGACGGGGACGTTGACTCCTTAATATCGGAGCTGAGGTTCCAAGTGAATAATTTGATCACGGTGGTGTTCGATGACACAGATTTGGACGGGGTGTCCCTTGAGCCCTTGGCACAATGCGCAAAATTGGAGGCCCTGATATTTCGTAGATGTCGAAATGTCGACCTCGGAAGATGGCGAAGTTTGGTCAATGCCCCCTTTAAACTTAAACTGTTGCACCTGAGCGATCTCTCGCTCGACGTCACCAAAGCCATAATCGAGAAGGCGAGTGACAATCTGGAAAAGATCGGGATGAAGATTGTTCCTTCGAATGTTGAAGGATTGGAAACGATCATGAACAATTGTCCAAATGTCACGCATTTCTCGATAAGTTTTGTGCAAACTCAGATTGACATTAATAAAGTTGTTCCGCTGATAGACAAACTTCAGTCACTCACCCACCTCACAATTTCGCTGTGGGGGCAGAAGAACGGAGCTTACGATTTTTTAATAGAATTATCAAAAATTAACTTTCGGAAATTGCAATATTTAGAATTGGCCTTGCCATTTAGTGCCGAGGGTCTAAAAATTTTCTTGGAAAATTGTAGATCACCTCTAACGACACTCATCATAGAATTGATCAACGAGGAAGATTTAGAGATATTCAAGAAATTTTCGAGGGAGCGAGGGACACTGAAGTGGTTAGGAGTGGAGTACAGCAAACCTGGGGAAACCCAGATGAGCCATTACGACTTTTTGAGAAAGATCACAAGTCTGGCCGAAGGTTACTTTCAAGCTTTTCCGGCAAAACAATTAAGAGTTAGAGACAAATATTTGTAAAAAGAAAAGAAAAGAAAAAAAAAAAAAAAAAAGCGATGGGTGAATGGGTTTCACGGTTCATTCATTCATTCATTTTTTATTTTTGTTTGTTATTTTTTTCAAAAAAATTTTTGATTTCTGCTTTTGCCATTAAGATATTGTATTGTTTATTATGTTATAAGGATTTTGGTATTAATCTCTTTGTACAATAGAATATAATCGTGACGAATCGTATGAATACTCTTTCTTAATTCTACAGGCATTTCATTCATAAAATAAGTACGGAAATCCTTAACATCAGGAATTCAAAAAAAAAAACAATACTAAAATTTTTTTTTTTTCGAAAATTTGAAATTCAACCTTTTAATTGATATAATAATATTCTCCTTCATCCGGTCTCACGCATCATCGGGGAACTTTCGCCGATTAACATTGGCTATAATTTAATTCTCGTTTCCAATTATATATATACAGTAGATACCTGTATATTGTATGTAACTATACATGTACGTGTAATTAATCAGTTAGTCGGACGCACGAGCGTCAAAGGTGCATGAGGTAGTTGGGCCATTGTCCACCTTTGGGCATTAATTAAAAACTTTTCCAAATTCCGCACCTTTGAGAAGAGGTCGCATGCTGCAGGGCAGGCGCCTGAAGTTTCTAATCCCCCGGAGTGTTTCACAATCATCGAGGATGCGCTATTCCCTTTAACTATTTCGGGAACTAATTCGGAGCCTTGCCTAGTAAAGAAAATGCGTTTTTATACGTAATAATATCGAATGCATTTTCAACCGTTTGTCATAATGCTCTTTATTATTATTATTATACTGTATATACAGTGTATTTTTTTTTCACCGACTTTCTTACTATTCATATATTGCCGCCATTTAAAATTAAAGTTCTTAATATAGAATCTAGCAATGTAAATGAATCTCTCAAAACTATTAATTATGATTCTTATTTGATTCGTGGCATGCTTCTTTTTTTTTTTTATATCAACCCTCCGTTAATTACACAGATCCGGACAATCGAAAGATTTAGCTTACTCTCGATTCTCGGCGTAAAAAATTTTTTTAAAAAAGTTTAGCTGAAACCAGTCCAGTGCATTGTATTAATGCAAATAAATCCATAATCATTTTTAATTGCAAGAGGTGTTTTTTAAATTTTGGCGAAAAAAAAAAAAAAATGAAGAGAAATCGAAATCGAAAGAAAATCTACGGATGATTTGAATGTATATAATTTGTATTAAATTTAATTAATGTTCAACTTTTTTGTTTCTTATTCAGCGAGATTTGATCGATCTCGAGGGAATGTCGTTTTTTTGTGCCCTCATTTTCTGCGACCAAATTTTCTTGGATTTTTTCATTTGTGCTTACGTTTCGCGAATCGGAATTGCGCTCGTATGAGCCGTCAAACTCGTCTTCACTCATTGGTATGTCGATTCCATCACCGTATCTTCCTGAAACATTGAACAACTCATCATTGGTGTGCAACTTCACCAATGCTGGTGCGTCTACAAAGCTTAGGACATTGGTGCAATAGGCTAGCATCTCCGCTTCCAAATTGCATACAGGATATTTCATGGCAAGATTTGCAAAGTGTTGCTCAAGCTTCCCTTGGACATTTAAAAACTACAAAAAAATCAGAAGAATTAACCATCTATTATTTATCAACGCCACATTAAAAAACCAGATTTTGCAAATGCACAAACTTCTTCCATCCTATCCTTCTTTTTGCTTCGAAATTCGTCCAAAACTGTCGTACGCTGCCATAATAAATAATCATCGGCCCGATTGGCAGCAAAATGAGGATCCTCGTCATCCTCGCTTTCCGAGTTGTCAGAGTGATAGTCAGATGGATCAATGTCACCATAAGAAAATATTTCCAGCAAAGCATCGATGGAACTGTATGAATCACAAAAGTAACACTCAATCGCGGACTTCATGATTAAAAAAAAGGTTAATTCAGTTGACTCTCGCTGCATACAAAATCAGCAAACCTAACCCTAACCTGAGTCAACAAGTCCAGCAGTAGATCATACCACGTCGATTTTACCAGGATCGGATCGTTTTTTTCAAATTCCAATTTCTCATGCGCTAATCTGTACGCGATCGCAATGCTGTTTATAAAAACCGGGACTGCGTCTATCAATCCTGGTGCAGTCTTGCGCGTCGAAGGAGTGCTCTTAAGCGAATGCGGGGATTGATCAGGACGTTGATTGCACATGTCACAGACGTTTAATCTGTGCCTTCGGCATCGAGACAGCAGAGGGTTCTTGAAGTATTTCTCGTATTTCTCCAAATTCAATGGTAATTTATGGTCTCGTCTATTTGTTGGAGGTGTGATGAATTGCGAGGTGGGAGCGGGATTATATCGTGTGGTACTCGTTGAATCAGGATGTATGGTACGTGTTGATTTCAGCGGCGGTGATATTATTTTGGATCGATCATAGACCAGATGTAGCAACTGACACAAGTACAATCGATGTTTAAGAGGTGCAGGAAGTATCAATGATGTCGCTTGAGTTCGATGTGATTGAAGCAGACCTAAAATTTTTGCCGACAGAAGTGAGTGAACAAAAATCATCACGTGACACTTCACAAACCCCCCCCAAAAAAATACCTTCGACGATTACTTCCACTCCTTGACACTTTTTTCGGTAATAGGTGACCTTTGGTGTTAAATTTTGTAAATCATCCTTGGCCTGTTCGATTTTTGCATCAATCGACAGGTACAATAAATAGTCAAGGATGTTATTGGTCGTGGTTATTGGTGCATTGTTAGATTCTCGATGAGGCTTGGTCATATTGGTGATGGTTGGTACGAAGGGGGGAATCTTGTTTTGCTTAGGGGACGAAGTTGAGGGGCTAGCTGTCCTAGCTGTAGGAATTGCGAAGCGCAGTCGCGTGGTATTCGAAGAAGGGTCATCATGATAAGAGGTGACAATGGAACGTGCCATTTGGTTTTACGTGCGATTCTACTTTAGAATTTTGACAATAATAAAAAAGAATTTCGATAGGATGGTGAAATCTATATGTTACCTAATAATGATATGTTTTTTTCACGGACAATGTGTACGCGACTCTGATGTGTGGAAGAAAGAGATTTATTTATTGGTTTGGTTTGGTTATGCATGCAGAAGAAGAATTGTTTCAATGAGAAAGCCTTCTGAAAATGAAGAGGGTTATGTAGGGCGAGAAGCCGTTACGAAATCTCGGGGAAAAAAATAAAGACAAAAGAATCTTCGTAATTTTAAATTTATGGTGCAAAGTTACATTAACAACTATATATAATTTTTTAGGCAATGGTGAAAAGCACTGACAACAGGACATGCTTTATCATCACTTTTTATCGACCACCAAATTTAGAAGCTTAGGGAAAATCTCACCATTTCAATAAACGGACGTCACGAATTACGGTAACAGTCCAAAGGAAAAATTCGGACGAGCATGGTCATACATCACGAAAGAGTTCCGTTATCCGCGCATCTTTCCGTAAATTTATTGACCATTTTATACAAGAATCGGAATATTTTGAAAATCGATAAGGAATCCGTCGAATGAGCAATCAACCCGGCAACCCAATGGGGAAGGAACCTGAAAGTCGGCGACAAGAGGTATCATTATCGTAATTAACAAATTGGGGCATTGATAATACATGTTTATTTACAGTTTACAGTTAGAAATAGAACGTACGCAAACATTTATATATTGGGATACTGTGTCCGAAAAAATTTCTTTTTAAAAAGAACATTGTTTGGAGAAAAACGAATAGGCATTCGTGTCTGCGCACAAATAATTTAAACAACATAGAAAAAAAAAAAATTTTTTTTTCTGTAATGAAGGACGCAATCGGAGATCACTTATCGGATCCACGAATTAATCTGATATCACGGAAGCCATACTGCGAGTTTAATTAGTTTAAGAAACAACCACAACACAGGTGATACATATTATCAAAGGCTGGAACGTGGAAAAATCAATTGGTTATCTCCACATTTTGAGAGCCAAATTCGGAACGTGCGGGAAGAGTGCGGTATCACCACCTTAAATATGATTGACCAATCTTGTTGATGCAAACTGGCAATCTTGGAAATACAAAACCTAATAAATAATTTTACAATAAATATCCTTGTCTCTTTTTTTTTTTTTTAATATGACTCACTTGGGTCATGTCACATTAAAACCATTATTGATTGAACATTATAGCACCATACACAGCATCATAAAAAATAAACTGTCTAAAATTGATTTCTAAATAGTATCAATGCAAAAGACCAGTAATCCTTGGGATTGTGAGGAAAACACAAAAATCTCATCATTTATTTATTCAGTGATACAAACCCAAGAATGTCTTCAGTCGATAACTCGGATTCCTCACGTCTTATCTTCCATATCAGGCATCAGGTCATGTCATAGTTTTTTTTTTTTTAACAAGAAACTGTGGGACAAGCCACATAAAATATAAATGGCACAGGTCGAGGAAACATGTTAACGAATGGTAGGGTGGGTAAAACCTTGGGGCGTGGGTATTTTGATGCAGAAAAAAATCGTGGAACCATGCATTATGGATATATTAATTTCTTTTTGGCATCTGTTTTCCTTTCTTCCGGTGGGATCGGAAGAAATTGTAATTAGGTGATGTATCTGGTAAAAGGACAATGGTACAATATAATTGTGGCATAGCAGACACTGAGAATGTCTCATTCTTATCAATCTCCTGTGTCATGATATTTTCTAAATCGCGCACCATGCAATTTCGTTGGTCATGACACACCTTTTACCAAAACAGTTGTAATCAACTTACCATTGAGGTATTACACCTGGTGTGGTCATTTCGGTTATAGCATTGGGATACAAGCATGCTGGATGTGTGGCCCTCCAAAAGCTTTTTCGGTAAGAAAACTTAAAATAATTTGACACAAAATTGGTCTTCAAAAAAAAAAAAAAAAACCTGATACTGCAGAAACGCCAAACGTTCATGTATTCATCGAATTATCGACCATTTAGAGAAAAATTTTCGGGCGATTTCTCAAATAATCACAAGCCAAATGCTTTATCCAACTCCGACAATTCCTGAAACAGGAGAATCAAAAACGGCCGAATTAGCGGACAGAATTTATGGGTCCACGTGAGAAATACAAATGCTATCTCACCGTCTCTTTTTCTGAATTTTACTTTTATATTAGAAAAATTTGTGTATGACTACCGATTAATCAATATATTATATACTGTAGATGATATAATTTATCTTTTAAAATAAAAACTTAATCGATTCATTGATTTCAATATAATGGAACTAATATTATTTATCATCATTTAAGAAATTATTGTTAATTATTAAAGTAACTTTTTATTTACAGTAAGTAAAATCAAAAGTATTGAAGTTTATTAATTAAACTTAACAAATTTTTTAATAAAAAAAATTTGGAATTTAAGTTTAAAATTATTTAAATTTAAAATAATTTTATTTTTAGAAAATATTTTTAAAACATATATAATTTATACTGTATATGATAAAAAAATTCTACTTTTTTTTTTTTAATTTAATATATTAAATTAATTTTATTGATTTATCATCTTAATTATTAAAATAAAGTTCATATTACTTACTATAAATTAATTAAAAAAATTTTTTTATTAATTAATCTTTTATTTGATTAATTATATATTTTTTATAAATTTTTATTTTATTTTTATTATTAAACCACAACTGGTATTAAATATAAGCCTTTTATTTAAGAATTAACTTAATATTTAGATACAAGTATCCTTGGCATAATATCAATTATCTTATACAAACTATATATTATTATATACATGCAGATTAATGATAACTCATCATAGTTATCCTAGTTGAAACTACTTGCTACTTCAAAAATAGGATAGACTTAACTAGAAGTCAATAGTTAATATCAATTATAATAATACCATTGATATAGTTACTAGATCTTACAATTGGTCTATATATTTATACTAACTTATATACTAAATCAAATTCACAAAAGTTAATTTAACTACTCAAATACTCAGATATTTTTTATTTGCACCTCAGAAGTGATTTCTATTTTTTTTGTTATCATTTATAGCATTATGGACAAATTCTATTTGATAAGTCCTTTATTTAAGGAAGTATTGAATTGAAATATTTCAAATTAAAATAGTTAAGTCTTGAAATCTACTGGTATAGTTTTTGATTAAAGAATATCCGATAATTATCATAATTCTAAAAGTAGGATCTTGAAATTTCTTTTTCTATTCAGTTCAGAAGGTATATACAGACATAAATCATATAACTAAACTAAAAGCCTTTCTTAATGCAATCATTATGATAAATCTATTTCAGCCTAACAATTAATAAGTAGATCAGAAGTTCTATTTTTATGCAACTTAATTATTTTTCTCACATGATTTCTGTATGATATTGAACTCTAGATCTTGTTATTACAACTTGAAAGTATTACTACTATATTATAGACCTACAGGTCTTTTATTAAATTTTATAAACTTTATATATTTTTTTTAAATTTATATAATATTAAGATTTTGATTCTAAATATACTATAATTTCAAAAATAATATTTTATAATTGCAATTTTTAAAAAAAAATATTAATTTTTTTAAAAAAATTCTTTACTTTATAAATAATCTAAATAATTATTATTTTTTAAAAAAATTTTTTTTTAATATTTTATTAATATATAATATTAAAGTCAAATTTATAATTAATTTACTTATTTTTATTAATTTATGATTTTAAATATAATTTTAAAAAATTTTGTTACTATATTTATAGTTAACATAAATATCTTTTTAATTATAAATATTATTTTTTATAATTAAATATTATAGATTTTTTATAAGTTCTAATTAAAATTAAAATTTATCTATTGATTATTAAGTTTTTTTTTTTTTTTTAATTCACAGTCAGGTCAATATAGCTTGTCTTTATTGAATATATAAAAGATATTTACAAAATGTTTTGACTTTTACATACTAACTTACCTATTGTCAAAAATTATTTCTTTAGATACAATTTAGGAAATAATATTTTACTCCTTTACTGTCTTAGATAAATCCTTTAGTCAATAAAATCATTATCTATAAATCATTACTATAAATCATTTTAAATTCTAACTGCAATTAAAAACTAAACCATTTCCTTTTATAACAAATTCAATTATTGATGATTTCTATATACTTCATTCTTTTTTTTTTTTTTTAGAAACTTCTTGTTTTAGGTTTTCTATAAATATAAGTCTTCTTTCTGTTCCTATATAACTTGCATAATAGATCTATATCCAGGTTTTTTGATTCTTTTATTCTCTTCAATAATATTCTACTTCTTTTTCTACTCTATTACTTTTTTACAGTGATTGTTCCATATGTCCCCCTTGAAATTTTTTCTCATCTTATAACAAAGCTTACTAATTATACTTTATGTGACTGTCAGAGAAATTTTGAGTTATGCATTGAAATAATTCTTTAAGGAAGTGATTTTGTTTTTTTCTATGTATCCATAAATAATATTGAAAAGGTTTTTATCAGATTGCTAAATCTTATTTAACCATTTATTTGTCTAGTTATTGATTACAAAATAAATTTTTTCTTTGTCTTTAATTTCTTTACTGATATAACAATTATTTTTTTTTTTTACTTTTCTCCATATATTTTCTCTGATTTCTTTAGGGACTGGACATTTGAATAGGTGTCCTAATATTTCTTCTTAAAGTTTATATACTATATAGGTCATTATAATATAAATATCTGAATTTTTTTTTCAATATCTGCAGTAGTGAAAGTTCATTATGAATTAGATTAATCAAGAAACTTTTGCCTTTATTATTTTTAAAAGAGATATAAAAAATATTGGATGGATTGAATTGATTTCAGAAGATTAACCAGCCTATGATTTTGTCATTTTGAATCCACAGTTCTTGAATTCTTTTTTGTATTATTC